ACCAACAACGTATTAATATACCTATCTCGATAATTAATACTTTGAAAGTAAAACTCGGGAGGGTCGTAAACAGCGCTGATTTTTCAAACGGTTGACAGTCGCGCGTATCCTACAAACGCAGCCGCGGTTATAGCGTGAATAAACTACGAGTTGTTTCGTATCGAATGACAATTGAAGTTGTTTATCTGTGAGGTAATAAGTGATAATTCTAGAGCCATGGGTGGCTGCTGTGTAGGGAAAACTGTATATCAATCGGTACATAGTAGATTTGTATATTTATAGAATTGGTAACTACACTAACATTAATAATCGTCAAGAATAAAAACAATGCACTTTCTGTACTTCTTATATTTTCTTGAAAGAAAATTGTAGGTCACAGAATGGCGTAGGTGGGAGGTAGCACGATAGATGGAGCCAGCACTTATGCGTGTATATACATATCCTTGTGAGTAACGCCACTAAAGCAGATGGATCATTCTAACGACATGAGGATGAGGACCATCAATAAGTCCCAAATCGACCTATGTCTAGTTGATTGAACTTACGAACGATTCTAGCTTTTGTACTAGGTGTTGTTAGTTTGATACAATATATTTTTTATTACTGAGAAATATTTATATCCAAATATTATCTTAAAATAAATATATGTAATCATCTGACCAAAACTATTCAAATTTGTATTAAACAAACAATACATTAATATACAATATAAAACATGTTTCTATAAAATCTATGTGGATCATAAAATTAAGAATAGAAATCGTTTAACTGTAAGTGTCAAATATTTATTTTAAATGCTGCCTATTTTTAAAATAAGAAATTATATTTCTGGATAGAAATTTAAATTTAAATAAATAAATAATTTTCTTGAAAAAAGAAAATACTTTCTTGCGTATATATACATGTGCGACACCTTAAAATCAAATGTTGTACATTAAAATCAACAATTTTTTTTTGCGTGTATATATTATGATTTTATTTTTAAGATAAAAGCAAATGCAAAATATTTTTTTTACAAATAAATGCTTTTTATGATGTGGCATATTCCTTTCTCGTAAGAGTAAAGAATTGTTTCAATTTACGTTTTATTTTTTAATTTATTTATCCTACTGTATGTAAGTAAAAACAAAGTAAGTTCAAATCTAACCCTAATACGACTTTTTTAGGTGCTGGCCTTTTATAAATCGTATTTACATTTTTTTAATTGAAAACTAATGACAGCGTTATTCTGCACTTCTGACTTTGCCTACTATAATTTTGTTTTCAATTACTAAATACTATTGTGCAAAAAAAGTCCAAAATTTACATTTTTCGGCACAGATTGATACCGAAAAAAGGTAAAATGGTACGGTATTGAGATGTGTGAATAAAAAAATTGTCAATACAATTATTCCAAAATTAACTCCTCAAAAGAATCAGAACAGCCTTAGAATTTGCAATTTCGAAGAAATTATAGGTTTAAAAACATTCATTTGTTTTTTATTTACTGTGTTAATGGCCTGTATGTCTATAAATTTAGACATCTTGTACATAAATCTTCATAAACGCCTTCTAATATAAAAAATCCCAGCCGAAGCCGAAACTGATCAATGAACTATTTCGCTAGACGCTACGGAATTCTGAACCTACCTATTAGTTGGACGTGAATCTAACAGATGGCGCCACAGGTACAGCTGTGGACGAGATTTATACAATTGTCTCCTGTTAATACACAGATTTGATATAACTAGATACTTATTTTACTTAAATATCCATTTGATTGTAAAATTCTACATCGAATTTAAAAAAGAGTAAAGCAGATAGGCCTAAAAGTAATAAAAGTTATAGCATTTTCATATTACTAGTAGCAGTAGCCGTACATTCGAATAATAGAAAGGATAATAAATTTGGTCTCGACGAATCATCGTTGTAGTTTTCAGCCATTTTCAGTCAGGGCCTTTTTACTTAACGTAAGTTATGTAATTATTTCAGATGTAAAGGTCTTTGAATTCACAGGGTGTGCCTTTCTGTGCGAAAGGCCACAGTGGGTGTTAATCTCACTATTTTAATCTAAGGAAGTCTGTTCATCATCGAATTAATGCCACTTTAGAAAAATTATAATTGGTTTCTGTTTGATTACCTCTATAAAACAAAATTGTGTGAAATTTTTGCATAATAATCGTTAGCTCAAAATGGTAAATAAAGTAGAAAGTGTTATACAGGGTATTGTATTGTTGTCGATTTTCGAACATTTCACTTGCTCTCCTTCTCGCAATCCTTGATAATTTGTACACAGAATATGACAACATTTCCTGGAACGATTAGAATTTAGTTATGGAGCAAGCACCAAGGCTCAAGGTCGACTCACCCACTGCATCCACTAGAGGTCTAATAATAGAGACACAAATGACGTGATTTTCTTAATTAAATTGGTAAAATTTGTCACTTATTTTTTATACTGAGGATGTGACAAATTTGTTTAAACGAAATTAGTTAGCTTTTAATTTAAGAATGAAGGATCAATTTGTTTTAGGTGTGTCATTCTTAATTTTTTTCGAGTATAGAATACTGGGACATAGCAGAACTAAGTGGAAAATTGTTTGTTCTGAAGATATACTTAAATTTTGTAATGAGATACTGTGCAAAAAAGTCGTATTTATTTGATTTTTATAGTCTCTTCAATAATTTGCACCACATCTCTAAAAAATTAAGCAAAATGAAACGAATATTTTTTGTGCACTTTACTAGTGTCCTCTTCTTTAATCTTCTTATTTTTCTTAACAGAACGTGAAATTCCAGGCAGAGTCGCCCGATTTTTATTACACTGTAAATACACGAAGCACAGCGTCGAGAAGGAGCCGAGCAAATGTTTGCTTACTCCTCGTACACGTGTTTCTATGGCATAATTAAGATCTGAAGGAGATTATGGTCCGGACACGGCTACTTTGCCCGTTAATACTTGACACATTTCCAGGGGTAATTAATTCACTAATTTTAAGACGGTCCCGGTAATCGCGAGACGTGATCTGCGACACCATTTCGTTGGGACGGCTGCTTTCGTACGGGCTGAACCAAATAAAAGAATCAACACCACCGAAGCCGGCCAACTTCGAAGAGATGACTTTTTTCGTGATTTTTTTTATTGTTATAATTGTGCTTACTGCCAAAACTGCACGTCATTGTAAAATTATTGAAATTGATTGATCTGAGGTCGAAATTTCTCAGTTGGCTCTAGTTTTAGAGATATCCTAACCTAAAAGTGCCAAAATCGCGATTTTTTTACATATTTGAGGTTATGTTAAATGGAAAGGTAAATTTTTTTGCTGAAACCTGAAATTATTAGGGACTATATAAATGTTAGAAAAATGTCAAGGAATTTCCCAAATTTTTATGGATAAGTAGTGCAGAATTTAGTAATAGTTAATATACCACTAAGAAAACAATTCATTTTGATCATACTAAGAAAAAATAAAACATATATTTTCAAAAATTAATTATTCGCAGTCCAATTGAAAAAATTCTTAAGCTCTCTTTAAATATCGGGTTTTGAATATAGGGTATTGAAATAACAATTATCTCTTATTAAATACAATTCAGTGTAGCACGAGATAAAAAAAGTTATTTTCTCTAAGATGTTGGTCAAAAAAAAATCAACTGCGCCAGTGGAGAAAAGCAACACTAAAAATTATATCAGAATGGTTCAAGAACTCTTTCGATAGGACTACAACACGAATTTAATGCTAAATTTAAAAAAAGTGACTTCTTCATTTTGTAAATATAATTCAGAAGAAGAGAAAGTACATTTTTATTCAATACAGCATTGTTAAGAATTAAATTTTGCGCTACTTTGTTTATATAAGCTTTACAGTATCTCTATTAATTCCTAAGATCTTTGTACTGATAATAAAATTTGGTACAGCCCATGTGATATTTGGAAATTTTTTGCATTTTAGAGAAATGATTGTTATAATAATTCTTGCTTGTCTGGATACTAAATTAATGCAACTTAACTATATTGGCCTATTTTTTGATTAAAACATTGGCCAAATTGTGATATTCATTTATTTTTACTAAATTGAAATTTCCACGTAATCTTTTTAGAAATTAGAGTATAGCTTTACCAATATTATTAGTGGAGTAAATATTAACGTTATAGTTCTTAATAAAGAAACAGTATTTAATAAAAATTACACATATTTTTTGAAAAGTTTTTTTTATTTTAGCTGACTAAAATGAAGTAATTTTATCCTTAAACAAAAATATCCTGGTATGCCTTTATTTGGTGTTCAGAAAATCAAAATTATTACGAGGAAAAATATAGTTTTGTCTAAAATCATAAACAGAAGTATGTATTCTCGATTAAGTGTAAATTTTATGGGGGCGGAATTTTTTACAAATCTCATGGAGAACTCGGAAATGTCAGGGAATTTTTTGGTCAAAATTTAGTACACGCCTTAATTATGACTAGTTTTTTTACAAACTTGCATAGGTCACTAGAAAAATGGAATTTTATGGCGCTACTAAAATTTTTCTAAACCTTCTTAATTTTGGTTGTCGACTCTCAACTTTTTTCCTTATGGATGCTACATTAATTTTTCATATTTTCTGATAGTTTTTTTAAAAATTTTCAAACATAATTTTTATAGAGTTCGCCATGGCCAACTATGGTAATTTATCAAAAACAATTTTGATACCCATCATTTCCTATCTGATTTTCTGGAAATATTAGAAATATTTTGATATCAGAAAATATTTTAAACAATTTTTGGTTTTCAATGGGCTTCATCTAAATTCCGTAGTTTAAAAAACAGTTCTCATACAAACAGGTGTATTTTTATTGCGTTTCGTGTTGTGAAACATCGTAAAATTGTTAATAAAACTAGCCACCGCTCAGAAAGACCCGATTTTTCGGGGTCAGACCATATTTTTTGATCAGATATCGAACTGGGTGTCGCAGGACTTGAAAACAGACGTATTATTTCAACATATTTATTACAAAACATTCAAAACATGGCGTACATATATAATATGATTTATAATAACATCTATATATAGGTAACAATTATACACTCCAGGGATATATTTTACAAAAGGACTTATCTCTATGAGGCAAGATGATCACGTTTCAGTTCGATTATGTACAAAATGATATATAAATATATGAAGCGATCGAGTTTCGATCAGTGGGATTCGTTTGCAGAGCACATTGGACGACATTGTTATGTTTTCGAACATAGAAACAACATTTATAATATTCTCAATAGCTACGATAAAGGGGCAGCTAACATAAAACTGTAAAAATAATTTATAACACATAATAATATGTAAAGCTTGGTATTGCACATTTTTTCACTTCACTTTCAATTGCACTGATTACAAATTTTCTAAAATACTAAGACTAGGAAGAACAATTTCTTGCAGTAGTCTTCAAGCACATGCATGTTGAAATTGATTGTACATCTTTTTAACAATAAATTGAACCTCAGAAGTATGAAATACTCAATGATATACATAGTCTCTTTACAATTTTTTTCAAAGTATGAAAATATTTCAGTAAATTAGCATCTTGTTTTATAGTTTTATAAATTTGAAAAAGGGGTTTTTGTTTGCGTATCAAAAATTTGTAGAATTTCGATGCCAATTTTACAATCTGATAAATTTCGGGCTTAACGGTTACCAAATTCAGCATTACCCGCAAAATGTCTCGCCGCAATAAAAGCAGCTCGGCATATACATTTTATGTGTGCGATTTAATCGAAGGACATTCGAATTTCATAAATGCAAGTGCCATAATTTTTAAACATTATTTTCCATTTCAAAACAGCCCGATTTACAGTTTACCGAATTTGCATAAAAAGGAAAGTTAGCAATTCTCGTAAACTTACCCAACTACGCGCATTTGTCATTCGATAAATCTAAATTTTAAACTGCCAGGCATATTTTATAGCACTTTTGAACCTTATAGTCGAGCGACTCGATTTTAATGAGAATTTTGATATTTGTGACGGAATACATTATTCAAATTTATGCTGCTCGGGGTGGAATAATTGAAACAGTTTTTTTTTAAGGTTGCTTCAGGCACGCTTGTCAAAGACAATTAATGGTTTGTTTTTTCCGTGTTTCTATTAATAAGTAATTTATTCTAAAATGTAATTCGTGCCGATTTTTTTTAGGTAACAACACTTCCTTGTCGATTCAAAAGTGGCGTAAAAATGTCGGACAGTTCGCTGTAAATGTGCTCCTGAAACTCGCTATATACAATCGCTTGAAAATCAGTCTGTTTCTCCGGGGTTACGTCAACAGGAAATCACTAAAATCTGCAGGCTCCAAAGCGTGTTCCGTGAAGTCAGTGTGTAGAAGAGCTGGCAAGGAAGGATCTCCAAAGTCCACGGGCGACAACGACGGTTCTGGGAAATCGGGTGAAGCGAGAAGTGACCCAGAATGGTCCGAAAGGGGTAGCGATTCCCCGTCGGACTCCAAAAACAAACAATCCAAGTCGTTGTACTCCGAAATAGGATCAGGGTCGCAGGGCCCGTTCAAAGCCGCACTCAAAGTGGATATATACTTCATCGCCAGACGCAATGTCGTGATTTTGGTCAGTTTCTCATTAGCCCCAGGTACTTGAGCGGCTTGCATGTGAGGAACCACCCGCCTCAGAGTCTCGAATGCCTGATTTATCTCCCTCATCCTGTTCCTCTCCCTGGCGTTGGCAGTTTTACGTCGGTACTTACTCAGAGGGGCTGCTTTCTGCTTCTGCTTGTGCGGTTTGTTTTGCCGCGACCCCGACTCCGAAAGAGCCTGCTTCGCGGTCTCCGTAACCCTCCGTAAGGACCTGGGTCGTAGCGAATACTTGTCTTCCTTCGCGGGAGACGTCGTGTTTTCGAAATCGTCATTGTTATTGTTAAGATCGGAAAGTTGGGAGGATAGCCTCTCCGACAACTCGCTGTATTGCAGGAGAGAGTCCATTTTCAAGTCACAACACTCGTCACTGTCACTCAAAACATAACAGGGTTCGGGTTCGTCGGTTGAACGCACGTCGATGTCTCCGATATGTTCCAGCAAACTAGAAGGTTGTCGGCGGTGCTGACCGTGCGGCTTCGAGTTGGTGACTGAGCCGAGCTGGGTTCGTGGTCGGTGGTACCATGGGTTCCCCTCCTAAGCACGCGATATGGCCCGCATCACAATACAGACGCGTCAGATGATGAATTGGTAGATCATTGTGAAGGAGGAATAAGCGGCGATAAGGATCTTTGCATGGTAAGAGTGATTAAGAGCTCAAATTATTGTGAAAAGATTCGGATGGATAGGTCTGAAGTGTTGAGGGTTTCTGGGACTGTGGTGTCACGCCGATCGCCGGTGGGTTATTCTTGTAACGGCGATAACAATAATAATAAACATAACTAAAAAATGGAAAAGATTTAATTTCACAATAAAAAAATGTAATATGATAATTATAAATTTCATTCGTTTTTCATTAGCAGCTTTCCGATTTTATGCAGAACTTTTTTCGGATGGTAGTTCAATGTGTTCAAGGAGGGACAAATTTGCGACGAAATACTGGAACAATCAGTAGTTGGCATTGTCAAATAGTCAATCACGGTCCCAAGAGATAACCTTGTGGTACACCTGAGGCAATAAAAAGATATTTATATAGATTTAAGGGCATTGACCATCACATACACTGCGGTCGAGCTGAAATATTTAATTTTATAAAAAAATAAATCACTGCGGTTGGTAGTACATCGTGAGAAGCAGATAAATATTCAAAAATTAAGGATACGCATTAGAAATATATTCCTATTAATAAATAATTCCCTAAAAGCTGGTCACCGAGGAGAGAAAGGGCCCCAATTAAAACCCGAGATATTAAATTAACAACATTATATGTGTATCAATTTTTCTCGAGCATTATTATGTAAATATAAACATCTCCAAACTATTTCGGACATACATATTCATGCTGGTAATCCTCTTATTTCGGTGGACCCGTTAAAGAGCGCTCTGATTTGATTTAATGTGTCGACGATTTGGTCCCTCGAAGATTAATTATTTCCGTTGTGTCAAAATGATTCGACAAATTGACCATGCGTGCGCGCATAAATCAAAATCAGCCCGGGAAAAATCCCACCTGCAGCAATGAGAAAAAAAAATACCCGTGACATCGAACATTCAGTCCTGTAATTGAATTGCCAGAGGAATTTCGAGGTTATTAAATCTGTAACTATTACCGGATTAATATTGATTATTTTTTTGATGTACGGGTAACTGTAGTGCGTGTTAGCGGACGAGCCCATCGTCGAGCCAGTGGCCGGCATAGAAAATTTAATTACATTCAAATACACAATAATAAATATATAAGAACTGGTTCAGTCAGGTACGTCAGAAAAAATAAATACCAGTATTTTATAGTCGGGATTCGTATTGCTGGTTAATAACTTTATTTGAAACGGGCTTTAATGATGTCTTTTGATACATAATTTAATTATACGTGAAACGCCATTTCGCTGACTAGAGCTAGTTCTTTACATAATCTAGTCCGGTATGCTTTTAAGTCGAGTCTCATGGGACTAATTGAATTTATTTAATAAAATAAACGTTAATAGGATTTCACTTCGACATCTCAGTCCGCCATGAAGTTGTTTGATATTTAAAATTGGAATCTTTGTATAAAACGTTCTCGAAATACCACCTTCCAGTCAACGTACCTATAAATTTTTTTTCAATGTTGATTGAACTATTTGGCTGAACCGTACCATACACAAGTAAACTATATAAGAATCATGAGAATAACATCAGCAAAGAAAACAAAAAACTTTAAAACTCAAATACTAAGACACTAAACACAAAAACACTAAACACTAAATGACCGAACACAAAAACACTAAAACACAAACAAAAAACACTAAAGCAATAAAAAACACTAAAACACAAACGTTTCGTCGTTTTCATTACGTTTTCAGGACATAAAGACATTTAGATACTATGTAAAATAAAAATAATTAATTTATTTCATTTTAAATGTGCAATTAGCATCAACATTTTTAGTTTACTATTAGGTTTATATTGCTTTGTATGTAGATGAACTATTTTTTCATTCATGGAAATGACAGAATGAAACAGTCAATCATGATGAATTTAAATTATTTACTGGACTTTCAATTTAATATTGCTTCAGGTTCAATGTAGATGCAACTAATTCATTCTTCATTAATAACAAGGCGCTGTGATATCATCAGCAAAGAGAACAAAAAAACTCTAAAACACAAACTATAAGACACTAAACAATCACTAAAACACTAAACACTGAAACACTAAACCCTAAAACACTAAACACTAAAACACTAAACACTAAAACTCTAAAACACTAAACACTAAAATACGACCATTTCTGCATTTGACTTCCCCTCAAGTTCTAAAAAAACTCTGAAAGATGTACAACCTGTCTTCCAATGAACCAAACACTTCCGATGATCGATCCACGTGGGCGCCCCCCGTGTCAACTCGCATTACTAATTACAATGTAGGCGAACGAATTGCGCCTAAGCGATCTGGACCGATTCGCTTGCTGCTACACATAAATACGTCACGAATATTGTGAGCCTGTCAACGTGTCCTGTCCGAATAGATTACCAGCCCGTTACGCTTGGCTGTTCGTGTGCTGCGAGGGGCAATACGGACCTCCGGTGTTTCTCGTGCATTTCGTAGTAGAACCCAGGGCTGTTTGCAGTAACTCACAGATTCAATAATTAGGTGCTTAATAAAACAACGGCAGTAGGTACGTTAACAGCCGTCTTTTTCTTCGTTTCGCAGGAGTAGTCGGTGAGATATTTGACAAAGGAGCGTAAGTTTTAACAATCCGAAAAGTTTTCCTGAATACTGTTCATAAAACTGGCCTCGGTATTGTGCCTTGTGGAGCCTCAATTCTACTGTTTTGGAAGCAAGAAAAAGTAATGTTTATTTCGAGTTTGGAATCACCAAACGGAAATGATGGTTGTAATTTATGAATATGCGGAACAGAAGAGGGCCCAAAGTTGAGCTTTGTGGTAGTCCGTAATTGATATAATGTACTACGAATCTTGTACCTTCATATTCAATAAGTTGTCTTCATTAATAATTAAGATTTAAGAAGATTTGAGAAGTTTTCAAAAATTCCGATATCTCGCGATGCTTCTACAGCGTTTTGCTGACATTCACCCTACATTAACAATATATCAACAAGTTCATTTGTTTTCCCTTTTGGAAAACTACACTTTTAATACATCGATGAAATGAAATTAAGATTTCATCCTCTTGCTCTGCTCCGAGCGCCGTATTCGAGGGTAACACCTCCGAGGAGCATTTCTATTAATCATCTCCTTTATTTACTTTGAGATGGGTATTAAATTTCCCGGCGAATAATGTGGCAGTTCTCAAATTGAGTGTACATATATTACGGTCGGATGGCGCCCACACACTTAGCGAAAATTACCGCACAAAAGGATGAGTTAAGCCCATAAAGTTTTGTATTTAATTACACGGTGTTATGTGCCGAACAAAATTTAGTTACAATTTCACGCGTACCTACAATGTGATAAATTATGTTTTATTTTGCAAGGCGGGAAAGAGTTGTATATTGCGTAACCTCGAGCAGAATAATTTTCAGTAGAATCATGCCGTCTAGAACATAAAAGACAAGTTTATTATTGATCGTAGGAATTTATTATGTAAATACCTTTATAAATTGAAATTAGTGTTTTGGAATGTACATGGTATCTCAAACTCGATAGTTTAGGCCTACTGTGAGGATACAAAAAATTTAAATAAAATTTGGGACACGTGGTGTTAAATGGGACGAGGTAAGCTCCATTTTCAATCGAAAGTATTATATTTGGGATTTGACAGAAACAGGAAACAGGAAAAAAATTGTGTATGTTTTTGGAAAAAATATAATTGATGACGTTATTAGTCGTTTCTGTCAAATCCTAAACATAATACTTTCGATCGAAAATGGAGCTTACCTCATACCATTTATCACCACGTGTCCCAAATTTTATTTAATTTTTTTGTATCCTCACAGGAGGCCTATACTATCGAGTTTGAGACACCCCTGTACTGAAGGCAACTTCAAAAAGTATTTTATAAATATTTAACGTAAAATGTCTTCAAAGAATTGTAGATGTGAACCCAGTATCAATGTCAAACCTGGATTTGCACGGCCTCAAACTCTTCAGGGGATTAATTTCAATTTGACGCGGACAAGATATTGGATTATTTGCCTCATATGAGCATATACTTCGACCGTATTATCTTGTCAAACGATTTTCACGGCGATCACGTTGGTATATTATTAGAGTTTTACGGGTTATGAGGTACTACCATCACTATCTTGACGAGGGTGGTACAATAATTACTTAGAAGTTGAAGTCAATTTCGAAGATAGCTACAATCGAAACGTTCAACGTCCTGTAGCGGAAAAATTAAAGGTTTTTCGAGGAAAACTTATATAACACTTATTAAAGTTCTTGAAAATACCTTTAAATTGAGTGGCGGTAGAAGTCGTTAGCGTGAAAACTAATGAAGTTACAATAAAAATAAAATGATTGTCTTGATTTTTGAGAAAAAAACGTCGGTAATTAAACGTATCATTCTGCAATTTACTTTATTTATGTATTAGCAGTAGATTCAGGGAATATCAACGATTTTAAAAGCCTAAATAAAAAAAATCATTTACTTTTGAATAAAATTTTTCTATTTTTTAAAAAATCGCCTTTTTTCAAATTATTTCGAAAACTAACAAAGTTATAAAGAAAATGATAGAATAAGAAATTGTAGGTTTTTTCTTACTGAACAATTTACTTTTTTTTTAATTTTTGTAGGACAAAATTTGACTGACTTATAACCGTTAGAAGCTCAAAACTAAGCTCCAAGACTGCCTTTCCTGAGCCTTTTTAGCTTACAAATCTAAAAACGAAGGGCTCAAAAACCGGCAAATCACTTAAAGTGCTTTAAATTCCTTACAAAATGGTTTCTTGAGTAAATTTATAACTTACAAAAGTTATGGTAAAAAAATTAATCGCATTTTTTCGGTAAAATTTTCGGT